GTGGTGGTTTTCCTTGTTAGATGCAACCTTTCCAGCGCTTTTGAATAAATAGTCTAGAAATAAAAGTAGTGATTTGTTAGTTTGTTGGAAAAAATGTTTTGGTGGTCATGGTTGTTTTGCTGAACTCTTAAAAATTCTGAGTCTTTTTTTGTTGTCGTTAAGAATCATGAGATCCTGCTGTGATGGCTCAGATTTTCTAAGTCAAGACCAATGGTGCTTTTGCCTTTCTGCTGCGTGAGAAGTTTCTGTCCTCCCTGCACTTACCTTTAGGACACTTGCATTATTGTTTGACAGGTGTAACTCCTCAAATACCGAGTCTTCAAAAATTACTAGCTGTGGGTAGTTATTCATCTGAAAAAAAATCATAATCCTCTTTGAAAAAAATCAATCATTAGTCTCCCCCAAAACACAAGTGTACAAATACATGTACTTGAAAAGCTTTCCAAATGATTGCTGAGGGTGCAGGGATTTCTGCAGCCCATCTAAATAAATGCTGGGAGATGTCCTAAGAACAAAATTCCCATTTTAAAAATGAAGATGTGAAATAGTGCCCAAGAAATCAATAGTGCCCAAGAAATCAGTGTTAGAGCAACACTGAAATTATGCCCCATGCTGTGTTCATTCAGCACGTACCTACTGAACACCTACTGTGTTCCCAGTGTTCCAGAGGGGCATGGGGCAGAGAAGGGCCTGGAGCTCACAGAGTTAGATTCTGGGGGATGTTGACTGTTAGGGTGAAACAATGTGGTCTTGACCCTCAGGATTAAAATCTTCCTGGTGCTTGTAAATCTAGCCAGTCTTTTTCTTCAGAAACCAGAGATGCTTTTGATTAATTGACCTGACAGTGCATGGCACATCATCTTTACTTGGAAGAATTTAATAACGCCTGAGACTCCCAAAGGAAACATGAAAATTTCCACATACTATTATCCTAATGGGATCATGGGAAGAGAATGTGCAAGCAAAGATTTAGGGTTCTCTGTGGCAGAGGAAGCTTTTGGTCAGTTCTTAAACGTTATTGAGTTTTTCACGTTGGAAAGAAAGGCCAGGACAACAGGAACTGGGAGCATGAAAGAGAAACGTATTATGGAAATTTATTGTCTTGTTAAGGGACTAGTGATTGGTTTCCTAGGGAACATATTATTTATAATTTTAAAATATGTATGTGGAGGTGACTGTTTGGATAAATTATGGCAGGAAGTATTTCATACACTTGAAAATTTTGAGAGGGGAAAGAATTAATTTGGAATATTCCATAGGGGTGGTTCTCAAAGTGTCACACAGAATCAGAAGGATCGGAGTCCATCACCTGGGAACACGGCAGACATGCAGATTCTTGGGGCTCACTCTAGATCTACTGAATGGGAACTATGGCAGGGGGGCTGCCCACAGTCTGTTTTATCAAGCCCGCCAGGTGATTCTGACACTCCAAAAGATTGAGAAACGCCATTCTAGAATCAGGAACAAATTAGTGATTATTTAGCTTAGCTCACATTTATCGAACATATATGTATGTAAGTTGATTGAGGGCTTTTGAAATTTATGGTTTGTGGCATATTTCTTAGCATTTTAACAGTCCTTTAAAAACATTCCCATAATTAAAGTCTCTTCTCTTTTTAAGTTTACACTCAAGTATCCTAAAATAAGATTTATATTAAATGAAACCATTTAATAGTACATTAGATGACAATTAAAAAACAAACTATAATATCTAACACACAGTAGATAAATTGTATGTTATGACTCTCTTTTACTTTTATCTATAACTATTTGTTTCCAGGTATATTGTCTTTAATTTGTCATGTATATTATTTACTCTATTGCCTCTTGTTTTCACAGTGTTTAAATGTCAGTAAAATTTAGAAGTATTGAAACATTAGAAAACTTAACTGCTATATTTTTTTTTCTAGCTGGGGCTGGGTTTGAACCCACTACCTCCAGCATATGGGGCCAGCACCTTACCCTTTTGAGCCACAGGTGCTGCCCAACGTTAGAAAACCTAAAGTCACATTTATAAATTCATTTTGGATGTACATTCTTCTGGGAAGTTTATAATTTATACTGAAATAGAGTGAAATTTTAGATTTCTGTAGGGCAGAATTAAGTCTGAACTTAAGGTCAAAGAGAATTAAAAGTATGGGGCAAATTTTTACTGGCATAAAATGAAATAAGATAAAATAAAAGTATGGGACACAAACATTTTCTCATTGCTTCTAGTGCCACCTGTGTTTCCCCAGATCCTAACACCTCGAGGGTGCAAGTGAGTTACCTTGACATTGACATTAAAAGTCTCATGTTTTCTGGCTCAGCTTGCCCATTGCTGACTGCGTCCCTCAACCCCTCATCTTGAAGATCCTCAGGCATGTGCTCAAGGGCCAGGCTACTCTGGCTTCTCCTCCAGGCTCAGGGTCTTTGGTTTGCTAGCCTAGTGAGGGCCCTCTGCTCCCTGCCTCAATGTCTGTGGCCATTGCAAAAGGCTGCCGTCCTATCCTGAGCCCTGGTCTGATGCACCCTCAAACCAAAGAACTCTCCATAGGCCACCAGGTGCTCTATCACTGCTGCAATTCACTCTCTGTGGAAGCCCCAGCAGAAAGAGAAAGTACGCTCACTCCATCCTGCCCCCATCAAATGGGCCTGGAAATGGTGCCACTCGTGCCCAGGCTTTGCTAGTCGCAGCTTCTTTTTATAAGGACTCTGTTTTCATGGGAGTAGACGCCATATTGTATCATTAATGAAAGTCCTGCCTGATTTCCCAGCTCCCCCTTATTTCTTAGGTACCTGTATGCTGACATTGGAAGGCCACTTCCCCAGGCGAATACAGGCAAATACGGGCTTTGTAGGGAGAGGGCTGCACAAGGGCTGGCTTCAAGGGCATTGAGCTTGAGTTAATGCTCTCTCATCTAGTAATTTATAATAATTCTTGAACAAGGAGCCTCATATTTTCTTTCTGCACGAGGCTCCTCAAATCAAGCAGCTGTCCCAGGCAGCTGCTCACCCATTCAGTAGAGACCCAGACTCTAAACTTCACTTTAGAGACAGTTTGCTAGAGGACGCCTGCTTCTTCTGGGGCCAGTTCTTGAGATTTGTATGTATTAATAGTACATAGATTCTTCTTAAAGCATTTCCTCATATCTGGTAATAAGATATTAAATTTACACGTGATTTTTCTTATAGGAACAGTAGAGTCAATCAACATAAGAATCGTGTGACAGTTTACTATTACTGGCTATTTAGATACTAAGTCAATTTTGGATTTTTTTAAAAAATCACATTTGTTAACAGATTTCCCAGTGTAAGGCTGCTGAAAATGTATTGGGAATGAAATTAAATGTGATTCCTCTACTGGACATGAGTGGAGCACCCATTAAGTGGTTAAGTACAGGGCCATAAGAATGGAATAAGGCCTGTCCCTGTTTTCTCAGCGATCATAATCAGCCTGTACTGACAGATGCCAAGAACAATTCTTTCTGTTTCAGGGGCGGGGAGGCAGGGTAGGGGAAGAGATTAAATATCCCCTAATAACGTAGCACTGCCTGAGAGGCTTGGTGCCTATGGGAAGACATTGGGAATGTACTATACACTAGGGTTGGAATTATTATGGCTTGGCTAGACTTGCCTTTTTGATCCACATTTATTTTATTTTGTTTTTAATTTTTTTTATTATTTCAGACCAATAGGAGGGTCCATATGATTCGTTACATTGTTTGCATTTGTATTATATTTTACTTTTTTATTCAAATCACCTTTTTTTCCTCCTGTGCTTTTAGCCTCAGCACCACAATCAGACGAAGGCTCTGACATTGACTCTGAACCAGATTTACCGCTAAAGAGAAAACAGCGCAGAAGCCGAACCACCTTCACCGCAGAGCAGCTTGAGGAACTAGAACGTGCTTTTGAGAGAACCCATTACCCTGATATTTATACCCGAGAGGAACTGGCGCAGAGGGCGAAGCTTACCGAGGCCCGAGTACAGGTACTGATGTCCAAACTGGGGTGTCCTACTTAAATCCAGCTGGGAGACAGACGGTATTGTCTCGCCTGAAACATATTTAAAACAAGAAAATAAATACATGAGGAATGGCCCTTTAATGTGCATACATATTTTTAGACTTTGGTTATTATTCTAAGAGAATATGATGATATTATTTGTGATACACAAAGGTGTGTTCATTCATGTTACTCATCATTTTGAGTCTTCATTGTGTGCCTTGTTGTGTGACCTTGGGGGTAACGTACAAATAATAGCAAACAAATTTTGAGCAGTTACTCTGTACTAGGCACTTTTATTTTTTATTGTATTTTATTTTTTGAGGCAATCTCACTTTGTCACCCTGGGTGGAGTGCCATGGCATCATAGCTCACAACAACCTCAAACTCTTGGGCTCAAGCAATTCTCTTATCTCAGCCTCCCAAGTAGCTGGGACTACAGGTGTCTGCCACAACACCTGCTACTTTTAGAGATAAGGTCTCCCTCTGACTCAGGCTGATCTCAAACTTGTGAGCTCAGGCAATTCACCCACCTTCGCCTCCCAGAGTGCTAGTATTACAGGTGTGAGCCACTGTGCCTGGCATTTTATTTTACTTTATTTTATTTTATTTTTATTTTTTGAGGCAGAGTCTTGCTCTATTGTGTGGCTGTCATTATAGCCACTGCAACCTCAAACTCCTGGGCCCAAGCAATCTTCCCACCTCAGCCTCTAGAATAGCTGGTATAATAGGTGTGCACCACCACACCTAGCTCATTTTCTAATTTTTGTAGAGACAGGTCTTGCTCTTACTCAAGCTGGCCTCAAACTCCTGTGCTCAAGTGATCCTCCTGCCTCGACCTCTGAGACTGCTAGGGTAACACGTGTGTGCCACCACGCCTGGCTGCCAGGAACTATTTTAAGTGCTTTACATCAATTAACCCTTTTAATTATCATTAAAACCAGAGGTTGGTACTGTAATTACTCTTCCCAATTTATAGTTGAGGAAACCGAGACTCAGATTATTTAAGTAACCTCTCAAGGTGGCATAGCTGCATAGTTAGTATAGAGATCAATGGATGCCACACACTTCATCTCTGTGGCTGTACAATTATGAAAATGCTCAAGGGTGCACAAGGTAAAATTCCTTGCTTAAGAATTGTATAGTCTGGAAACATTTCCAGTAATTATACGATTGAATTACCTTTTGAACTTTGATGTACCCAGAACCTTTTGGAAAGGTTACTTAGATGTACTATGTTTCTGTTGAGTGTAGAATAATGTTTTAGTCATTAATGGTAAAGTTCTCCCTGAAGGTAGTAAAGCACTATTTGGAAGATCACAGGTGTTTTAGGGTACCCTGGAACTCCTTGCTGCCTGAGAAGTTGGCACCTTACCTGGTAATGTCCTATGTTATTCCCAGAGACTTGACCTTCACACTCAAAGTCAGGCTGGGGACTCAGCCTAGTCACTTGACATGGTCCCTAGAATGCTTTTTTTGTTTCTTTTCTTTTTGAGACAGAGTCTTACTCTGTTTCCCTGGTCAAAGTGCTGTGACATCATAGCTCACAGCAACCTCAAAGGTTTGGGCTTGAGTCACCCTCTTTTCTCAACGTTCCAAGTAGCTGGAACTGTAGGCTCCTGCCACAATGCCCAGCTAGTTTTTCTATTTTTAGTAGAGATGGGGTCTTGCTCTTGCTTAGGCTGGTCTCAATCTCCTGAGCTCAGGCAATCCACCCACCTCAGCTTCCCTGAGTGCTGGCATTATAGACATCAGCCACTGAGCCTGGCCAAGATCAACACTTTCACACATGCAGTGAATTAACTTTCCTGTTACAGAATGTTATAGAGATAGCCTCTCTCAGGCTACAGAGCCTAGTCAGAAAGATGGTTTTATTTAACTTTCCATATGATCATAATATAGGAAAATCAAGGAATGCTAAGATGAATAAAGACTGTTCTTTGAAGGAGCTGTAGTCTAATAGGGGTAATAAAATAAACATACAAATAATTTTGAAGCCAAGCAGATATAAGTGCCAAAAGAGAGAGAAAAAAATGTAGTGGGAGTGAGAAGAGGAAAAGGTGAGATCTTGAAGTCAGTAAGAAAGGCACCCGAAGAGGGCGGATGTAAGACGGACTTTGTAGGTAAGGTAGACATTCCCTGGGCAAAGTAGGTGAGGACCGTGTTCTAGGGATAGGGAGTCAGATGAGGGAAGGCGCAGAGAGGTGGGAGTACATGTGTTAGTGTAAGATGACCTTTCGTTTTTACTCTGGGTGAGAACAGTGATTAGTCCCGTTTGGGTAGAGCTGGGTAGAGCGTAAGGAATGGGAGGGTGGTAGAAGGGATGTGGTTTGATAGCGAGGCTGAGGTTATCCTGTGGACGGCTGGGGTCCTGGGGTTTCAGGCCAGTGAGCTCACACTGGATGTGACAGGCACTGGGGGCTGTGGTGTGAAATAGGCAGTGACAGTGGGAACGGCAAGAAAGACGCGGTGATGAAAGGTATTCAGAGGCACAGTGTAGGCAAATGCTGTGCAAACTGAGGAGGGTAGGAGGGGGATGAAGGGAAGCGTCACAGGTGCACCAGGGTCACAGGGCTGATGTGTTCAAGTTGGAGCTGTTGAACCCACGTCACTGGGATACAGAGCGTTCCTCTCACCACACAGCACAGAAATGACTTCTATTAGCCACAGGTCATGATACTGTGTTAACACTGCCATATCCATACATTATTAGCATTTATAATATTTATAACATCACATTATCAATATTTACAAACAATACTATACTAACAATATACATATTATTACATATATTATGTATTGAAATCATATAGTGATAATATATTATTAAAAATGTGATTGGTATTACATATATACATAATATATAAGTGTATATATTGAATATGAAATGCATGTGACTATATAATCATTGTTATAAATAATGATACATGTATTAATGTTAATGTTAAAAATATCCTAAATATATTAGGATAACACTTATGTATGTTATGTATATAACATATACATATGTTAATATATTATCATGACTTATGGTTAATGGAAATCTTTTCTGTCCTGTGAAGTACTGAGGAACCCCCTCTATGCCAATGAAATGGACAGAGGAATTCCATAATATTTAATACTATAGTGTAGTATTATGCCTAACAATGATATAATAA